TCCATTGAGAAAATGGACTAAGTAGAGAGGGATGGGATGCGGTGGGGCAGAGTGGAAGGGAGGCCCATGAGGAGGAGGCGAGTGAATGTATACATATAGCTGATTCACTTTGTTGTAAAGCAGAAACTAACACATTGTAAAGCAATTCTCCCCCCCCCCCCAAAAAAAAAGGCGTACAGACAAGGATCATTGTCTAACAAGTAGGGCAATGGTTAAGATCCTCAAAGTGTATGGTCGTGTGGGTCATTGGCAACACTGCTCCTTTAGAAATGAGCCCCTGGAAGTTGCATTTGCCAAGGATTATGCTCTGTTTCCCTTTCTGACCTTTGGGTAATCTTGTTATTGGAGAATTCACATCAATGATCTGCTTCCCTTGGTCTGCATAATTCTTTTCTTGAATTCATTTTCATTGAAGTGGTAATGTTTATATCTGCCTTGCTTAGTAAAATATAAATAGCAAAAATGTGCATGGGAAATCAGTGCTTACACTGATGTATCAGCTTCATCTGGATTGTCAACTGAGAGATCTCTGAATAGTTACTCCTGTATCACTTACTGGGTAGACAGTGTGACTGGTGATAGACAATATCATATATGACTTTTACAGATACCTAAGCAGAATTCTTTTAGTAACTTACTAGAGTTATCCTTCATTAAGCAAAAAGAAAATCTGTGATATCTGAATCATTCAAAATTTAGTTTCACATTCAAAGTTCAGTTTCAGCAAAAGTGGACTAAAGTATGCATCTTGGTCAGGCTTTTATTCTAGCATAATACATTTTCTTAACCTTTAGCCTTAGAGTTAATCTTCAATGTGGCAGTTCTTATGAATCTGTTTATAGATAGGACTAACAGTGGAAAAATATCTCTGAGAGCTCTTGTCATCAAAGAAAGTTCTAATGAAATAATGGGGCTTTTAAATATAGATCATTAGTCAGAGACATGAAACAAACATCCTCTTATTAAGCTATTACCTCACCTCATTGTTGAAAGCATGAAACTGCAGAGAGTTAGAGTATATCATTTTCATAAAATATTAGTTGTTGAAGAGCTGGTCTCCAGGCATTTTAGGTTATTTTTTCCTATTCATTGAAGTCCAAAATATTGCTCATCTGAACTTTCTCTGTTAATCACTGTTACAGTAAATCTGAGACTGCAAGACGCCCAGTAATTCATTACCAATGCAGAACTTGTTCACCTTAAGGTCAGTTATTCAGTCCTTGAGCTGACTGTCTTTAACAAGAAATCATCATCTTGAATGAATAAAATAAATAATAAAAAGGAAGGCAAGAGAGTTTAGTTCAAGAATCTGGACCGAAAAGCCACCGGGTTTCTAGGCGCCATTTCCCCTTCATCCTCCTCTGCTGTCCACTGTCCCATTTTAGAAGGGAATAAGCTGCTGGTGAGGTTGGGTTGAAGGTTCCCTACCCCCAGAAGTAGCCCTGTTAAGCACTTTTGTGTCCCCACATACTCTGGGAGCATAAGGGATAGGCCCAGAAATCTGCCACAGAGGAGGTATCTCCTGGGCTGACCAAGGGCCAGGGAGAGTTTCTGAGCAAAGTGGGCAGAGGGGAGAATTTCTAGTGAAGAAAGGTGTGTGCACAAAGTCAGTGAGAAATTGAAGACTATAGGGTTTTCAAAGAACTCTAGTACTTATGCTCATAGGGCTGAAGCATGAATTAGGAAAGAAGTTGGCTAAGAACTATGACCAGATGTGTAGCCTGACGCCCGATGATGAACGGCACTCTGCTATAGAGAGTGGTTCATGTTCTCTAGCCTTAAAATGGCATAGAACATTCTGAGTGAGGGAATTCCCTGGCAGGTTTGCAGTTATGTGGAGAATGGAGTTTTTCAAATTAATTTAATTAATTAATTTGGTTGTGCTGGATCATAGCTGTGGCAGGCAGGATCTCTAGTTGCAGCATGTGAGCTCTTAGTTACTGCATGTGAGATATAGTTCCCTGACCAGGGATCAAACCCGGGCTCCCTGCATTGGGAGAGCAGAGTCTTAGCCACTGGACTACCAGGGAAATCCCTAGAGAATGGATTTGAGGGAGGCAGACAAAACTGGAGATAAAGGAACTGATTAGGGGGATGAGAAATACCAGGAAAGATAAGAGGGTAGGATTCAGAAGTTAGGAGGAGTAGGAGAGAAGGAAGAATTGACACTAAGGTTCGTGGCTGGGGTGACAGCTTGGGCTCTCAGGAGACAGGAATACAGGAGAAATGAAGGTGAGCTGAGGTGGGGAGCAGTAGGGAGTTCGTTTACTATGATGTGTCCAATAGAGATTGGTTAGATAAAGGGTTCTAAAGGATAGACCCTTGAGAGAGACTGGGAAACCATCAGCATTGCAAATGGTAATTAAAGCACTTCTGAGTTTCTTTCCAGCCCTTAAATCCTGTGGTTCAATGAATAACATAATCTCTTCAACAAATGCCCATTTCAGGAAGTCTAAAATGAGCAGTGGCCGGTGTGAAGTGACTTGATGACACAGTGCAATTCTGTCTCTCGTGGTTAGTAAATCAGTTGTGATCTCAGCCTGATGTGGACATTGAAAATCCATCAGGACAGATTTAATGAGTGTCTTCTTTGTGTTAGATGCTGCAGGGAAAATTCACTTTTTTTTTTTTAAGATGTGAAATCATTTCGTTGAGTTTTTCCATTCAAGTTGAGGTAAGATGTAGAGGTTTAAAAAAAGGGTAGAGGTCAGAGAGATTGGTCAGGAAGGTCAGGAAGTAGGGTTTAGAAGGAAGACCTTGAATAGTGAATTTGAGATGATAACAGAAGATGAAATGGACATGATCAAGAATAAGAAGGATCTTGGCCAGAGACCAAGACTGGATTCATGCCATGTGAAGTCTGTGGAGAGGGTGGAGAGCAGAGGAGAAGGGAGTTTTGGGGAATAAAGCAGGTCGCAGGGAGGGCCGGCCTGAGCCCTGGCAGGCACCACCTTCAGGCTGAGAAAGGATGAGGCTCAGTGAACCAGGGAGGTTAAAGCTAGAAGGAGAATAATCCTCCAGCAGGGGTCGTGAAAAGGGAGTTTAAGGAGAAAGGTGACCAGACGTGATGATGACTGACTAGAAAATGATCATTGAATTTAATGATAGGTTGGCTGCTGGTGGTTTTTCTCAAAGGATAAAGAGTTAGAAAGACCTGTAGGTCAGGAAGGGAAGAGTAAGAAGAGTAATGATGATAATAGTAATAGTAACATGTACACTTCCTAAGTTATATGGTAGGCAGTGTTTTATGCACCTTGTGCATTTTAATTTTGTAAATTACTATAGTAATTTTAGAAACATACTAGTATTATTAACATTACTAATATTGTTACTGTTTCCATTTTACTGATGAGAGGTATATTAGATAAAAACAGTGAGCATAGATAGTTCTTTTGATACATTTTGCAAGGATAGAAGAAGTGGAAAAAGCACAGTAGGGGACACTGTGGTTAGATGAACGCTTTTCTAAGAGACTGTGACATTTTTGAAAGCAATGAGGGAAGGAGACAGGGAGGAATCACTGAAGATGCAGGAGAAGGATGAGCAGGTGGATCGGAGGAAGAGGTGACTGGTAGGCATGGCGAGAGGGCCCAGCCTTAAGGAGAAGGGACACCATTTTGAGAAAATTAAGAAAGTTTTATAGTCACTCATATTTTACAGTTCAAAAGTGAGACTGTCTCTGAAGTTACGCTTGATCGTGTTGGACAGTTATGAAGAGACGTGAGAGAGCTGCTGAATATCATTGCATGCATCTTCTTTCCTTGAAAAATTTATGACTCAGTGTTTGAAGTTTTAGAAAAATTTTACTTTATTCGTTTGAACTTGCCCAAACTGAGTTCTGTCTAGTGTGATTTCACTTGTCATGTTCTTTATCATTTGTTACCTCATTTTGTTATTTGAACATAAACATGAAATCTTTTTCACATGTATTTGGATGCAATAATTGCGTATTCTCTTGATTGTTTCTCAAAAAAGCTTGTATTTGGGACCTGTTTGGTCGAGAGGTAGAGAGGACAGAGAGCCTGGCAGTTGCAATGTGCAGTGTGGGCATAAACAAGGAGGACAGCAGTGCTGGGGATGGGAGACTGGAGAGGAAAGTGAGTTGCATAGCTGAGGATAAAGAACTGTATTGAAAAGTCCATTTGTGACTTTAAAACTGAGACTTGACTTTTACGAGAACACTTCTATTAACGGGAGATAGAAAGCACAGGACCACTGTCATCAAGTTTATAGAGAACAAAGTGAACTTAAGAGTTGGCCACTGGCTAATCAGTTGAGCAGCAGTGACATTTAGGATCTGAGTGGCTATAAATTGGTGACAGGAAATCATTCCCTGTGAATAAAGTCTTTCCTCTAGAGTAACAGGGAGGGCTGGCTACACTGCTGAACTTATCAGATCAGATTCTCCCTCTCTCCCTCCCTCTACTCCTGCCCCCTTCCCTTCATGGGAATGCAGTTTAAACTTGACCAAGTGTTTGAGCTCAGTTACTGAGTTGTATCCAACTCTGTGACCCCGTGGACTGTAGCCCACTAGGCTCCTCTGTCCATTCACTATCTCTAGGACTGAATAAATCGTTGCTCAAGCAGGCCAATGATTTCAGCTGCCAATTTGCCAGATAGAACTATTAGCATTTACAGCAATCAAAAAAAGGTGACAATACTTGCACATATCTCCACTGCAGGAATATCCTCTCCTTGGAAATGAAAAAATCAAAAATATTTAGAAAACATGGACTGGGGCACTTATAGCAGTCATTTCAGTTTCAAAACATTTCCTGAGGAAAAGTAAATGTTTTCTTTCTCATAGAACCCAATATTTTGTCTGTTGAGATATGTTCATCAAAACATTTTATTGATACATAAAATGTTTTCAAAGTTCATTCTGTGTAAACATGATCATCTCATACTAACTGGGGTGTGTTGAGCACCTCTGTCTCTCCATTAATATCTAGTGTCGTCTGTCTGTGTTTTGTGTCTCATGGTCCATGTCTTTTTTGCAGATATTGATGAATGTGTAAACAACACTATTTGTGACAGTCACGGGTTTTGTGACAATACGGCTGGCTCCTTCCGCTGCCTCTGTTATCAGGGCTTTCAAGCCCCACAGGATGGGCAAGGGTGTGTGGGTGAGTGCTTAGATTTTTTTTTTCTCCCGACATCTCTCTCTCAAGAAGAAATCAAAATCATCAACCACAGGAGAGATGGAAGCAAGGTAACTGGGCGGAATGACATCAATAATCTGATCTTGTCGTATGGTTTGGAGAGGTGCACAGTGACCCCGCAGCTTCTGAGATGGTAGGGATGTTAAGAAATAGAGAAGTATAACTTTGGATTTAAAGGTATATTAAAAAGAGCATCTGTTTAAACTCTTAGCTGGGTATGCGGAACGCTCCAGTCCTTCCTGCACAGGAAATAGAGTCTGGTGTGTGGTAGAGCTTGTCTGTCTTCAAAACGTACCTCCCTTAGGCAGTGCGTTTAAGGAAACGTGTTGGCAGGAGTTTGTTTCCAGGAATGACACCCGTAAAATGATGCTTTGGCTTGTGCAAGCATAGTTCTTGCATCTGTTCTGAGATTGTCAGAGCTGGAAGGAATCTTGAGTATCATCAGATGTCCTAGAATATGGTCCATCACATGCTCACATAAAATAGCCACTTCTTATGTCATGTTCTGATCAGCCGTGATTTCTTTAAGTCAAATTCATCATGAGGGATACTTGCAATTAGAGCAATTAAATGGGAAAGAAATTATTTGATTCAGAACTTCACAGATAACAAGGCTTTTTCTTTACTTAATAATTTAAGAAAATCTGCCTCTGGTCATTACATGGCAGATGACACTTGAGGATGAGTCAGCAATGTTTTAGTTTGGAAATTTGCAATGAAAGCAGCAATTCATTTCCCATCCAGATTGAACTGGGAAAACAAAGTTGGTTTGGAAATTTAACAATAAAATCACTTGAATAGTAACCACCTTTAAGGTAACACTGTTGTAATCACTTGTTCCAATTCCTGCTGTAGTTTCCTATGCACTAAATTACAGTGGTAAAAACCATCTGCCATTCACTAAATATGTCGACTTAATAGGTCTTGTGGTCTGGCCCTCACTTACTTTCTCAGCCTTACCGCCTGCTTCCTCACCGGTTACGCTCCTGCAGCATAAAACTGCTTATGATTGTTCATGTAGCTGGGAAGTGATTAGGCTGTTGTTTGCTCCTTTTGCTGAGAATAACCTCCTGGCCTCCCCCTCCCTGAGCCTCAGTCCATCCCATTCATTCCTGAAGCCCCTGAAGCCAGAAGTTCAATGTCATCTCCTCCCAGGTACCATTCCTGTTCCGCTTCTCACCCTCCAGCTAAGCTACTATCCTTCCTCCTGCTTCCCAAATACCTTGGGTAAATTCTATTGTAATACTTACATCCTTTTGTGCAATAAATCAATCATGTATGTGCTGCCTGCAGCTGCCTTTTCCAAGGCAACAAGCTCCATGTGATTGAGAACACTGTCTCTCCTGACTGGGCCTAATGTTTGGCCCATTGTAGGTGCTCAGTAAATGTTAACTGTTACCTATTGTGGTATCAGATGTCAAACCACTGACTCCACTTATCTTCTGAGCCCTTGGTTAATGTTTATTTCTAACTAGGCAGATGAGTGCACCAAATCCATGCCAATGTTTCATTTCGACCCACAATATACCACCCTTAGAGAAGGAATATCTGTTATCCTGTTAATAGACTTACATGTGTCATTATATTTTGTCTGTTCTCTTGGAAAAATATTAACTGAGCACCTCTTACATGTACCACACCACACTGGGTGTTCCTCAGGGTTTGAGAGATGAATCAGCCCTCTGGGACCAAGCTTTGGCCTCTCTGTTCCCACTGCTTGGATCCTGGCTGTTTACCCTTCTTATCCACTCATCCTTCAGATGGAGCTTGGTTCCAGTATTACTTCCTTAACCCACCACTGCACGTAAGGTCCACTGTTCTGTGCTGTCCTAATGCTCTGTACTTTTCATTCCTAGCACTTATCCTGGCCTCTATGACTTGACATTAAGCTCTCTGAAGGCAGGAGTTGGCAGGAGCTCCCTGAAGGCTTCCTACATCGTCATTGTCTCCCCAGTCTGAACCATAGAAGTAAACGAGAAAATATTTTTTGATTGAATGAATACCATCTGGTAGGAAAGATTTCAATAGCTATGGAAATAATATAAGTTAGAAAGTAGAAGATTCCATTTGATAGTTACCTAAAATTGATAAATGCAAACTGGCAAATATCTAAAGTCAATTTTTCTGGTCTAAATTATGACTGTCCAGGTTGATTAAATATACCAACTCTCTGCTTTACTTTGTCATAATATCTTTTCATAAGCAAAACTCAGCTTATTGGATTTATATCTGTTTATATACAAAGTGAAATGGAAAACTGAGGTAATTATCCAAATAAGTCAAGAGAGATCAAGTTTTTGTCCAATTAACTGGGTATAGCAGGTGAAAATAGTATTTTTTTCCCGTGGATGACTTGGATAATTGCTCAAGTTTTTAACTTTCTATAAACCATCTTAGAGTATGCTCATGAAAGCTGATGTTTGTACACATTTAATCATGTTTAATGCATAAAATACATCAACATTTCAGATGTTAAGTCAGGTATTTTGTTTACTGGGCACTCATTAATGACATTTCTTCAGAGGAGAAAAGATAGAAAGTAGTATTGGACAAGGGCAGACATAAAATTAGCCTTTCTTTAGAGCCAGGTACTTGGTTACTGTTGAATAAAATGGACTCATCTGTGAATTTTTAGTGTTTCAGTTAAGTATATTTAAGTAAAAATAAAAATATCTAGCAGAAGTAGAAATTACACTGTGGAACACCAACAGAAATTTTAAAGGCATGGTAATAGCAGTGAGAAGTTACTGGACCAGTTTGCTTCCTGCCAATGATTAATGTAACCCAGCAGCTACTTACAGCGGTTGTCCTTTCATTTCCCAAAGAGATACCCAACCTGACTTCTGGTTGTCAAGTTATGAACATTTTGGCTGCTAGGGAGCTATATCTTTAGACATGTGAGTGGACTGTAAACAATTTCTAAAAATGCATTTCAAGAATTCGGCAGTTTCTGAAGTGCCAGTGCTGCTAATTTTCCTTGAATTAAAAACTGAGAGAGAAGTACCCAGTTATTTAAGACCTCATAATGTCAAAAAGTCAGGGAAGTGAAAATTAAATAAAGCGTACATACGATGCTTGCGGTACGGTTTTGACTTCTTCCTTAAAACCGGAGCGGGAGTTTGCAAGCCTTGCGTTGTGTTTTCTTTGTCCCGTCCCACAAACCAAAGCTTGCAGCACTGCCAGTGGGAGCCCCTTCCTCCCAAAAGCTGAAGGGTTTGATTGTTCCCGGGGTGGGGGGAGTCCCCTTGTTCCTGCAGATACCACCAGTCATGGCACAGCTGGTGAAACAAAGCGTGGTCAGGAGTGAGGAACACATCTGACTTGGTCTGTGCTCCCTTTTCCAGATGTGAACGAATGTGAGCTGCTCAGTGGCGTGTGCGGTGAAGCCTTCTGTGAAAATGTGGAAGGGTCCTTCCTGTGCGTGTGCGCTGACGAAAGCCAGGAATACAGCCCCATGACCGGGCAGTGCCGCTCCCGGCTCTCCACAGGTAAGGGATGCTGTCTGCACGGAGGGCTTCTCCCGGGGGCCTGTGCCTTCTGGGCCAAAGACTCTGGGAGTGAGGAAGAAATGGCCAAATAGTTTGTCACCCTGCTGGAAGCGTTCATGCTGTTTCCAGGCCTGCCTTATCAGTGGACTTTAGACATGGGTGATGACTGTTGGAGCCAGATGACCTCTAATGTGCTTTCCAACCCGGAGACGCCGTGGGGAAAGTGAAGGATCCAAAATGATGAGAACATTGGCTGGGAATTGCCTAAAACTGAGAGCCATCAGCTCAGGGCTTAATATGGCAACATCTCATTAAGTTGCATAATTCTTCTCTCTTGGCCCTTGGAGAAACGTATTTTGACACTTCTCTAAATTAAAAGCAACATATAGGTCCCTTGGGATCTACGAAGACTTCCTTCCACTTGGAATTCTTAAGGTCCCCCCCCCCCCCCCCCCCCCCCCCCCNCCCCCCGCCCCGCCCCACACCCCCTAGAATTTGGCCAAGAGAATGGCTGTGATTATGTTTGTTTAAAATTTGATTTAGACTGTGTCATCATGGCATACTCTGAAATGGAGAGCTGATGCTTTTCCAGATAAATCAGTCAATTTCCAGATCACCCTTTTAGTTTGTGCCATGTGGCTATAGTATGATTGTGTTTTCAGGCAAGTAGGATACTAAATGGTCCTTTGGGACCCAAATAAAATGAAACATAGAATGTGTTACTATCTTGCTCAATCCCAGTTGATTTTATCCGTGCTTCTAAGAAAGCTTTGGTTCTTCCTCAATAGGGTACGCTTGTCCTGTGTGAGACAATTATCTTTGCAAGCAGTAAGGAATAAAATATAAAAATACTTCATTCACACACGTTTTCTTCTTAATGATTAAATACAGAAAGGTTATAGGTGCAGAATTAAATGTAGAGACAGTAATTCAAAAACACTATGAAAGGGAAGAAAGTATTTCTGGAGGGAGGGGTTGCTCTCCCTTTAATGACCATCCCTGCAACTTATGAGCCATAAAGGAGAGACTTTTTGTCTTAACTCTACTTGTAATGGAAAAACAAAAAATCAAAAACCTGGCTGGCCAATAATAGGATTGGTGAAGTAACTACCTTTTTATTTGTCTTTGGTTCTATAGAGTAGCACCATCCCCCATAGTTTTATTGTGACTGGAATAATTGATACAGTATTGTGTGGTCATTAACTCATCTGTATGAAGGTTAGTAGTCATGATAAATGCATGTGATACAATATCAAGTGAAAAAAAGAAAAGATAGTCCAGTGATCACAGTCTGTGGAGAAAGGGGATGGAAAGAAGACATAAAAATATAATTATTGGAATTACTGGAAATCTTAATTCTTTATTTTCCACACTTTTTTTGAATACTTAAATTGGAATGACCATGTTCTGATCTGTGAACTGTTTTCTGGCTATGCAAGCTTGGGCATATCATTCAACATCTACGAGTTTGATTTTCTCACCTGTAAAATAAAGGCTATATTTGCTTCACAGAGCTTTATGGGTTTTTAAAAAAATTATATACATAAAAGCCATTCGTTAATAATGAAGTGATGTGTGAAGTATTAAAATCCAGACACATAAGGGTTATGTACTTCTCTTCCTTTTGTGATCCCTTTGGAGATGGTGGATGTTTTTTGACTGCAAATATTTTTTTGCTAGAGTGCTTTAGTAATACCAAGAAGGGGTTTGTTCAGTTCACCTAGTTTCAGTTAAGGTAGGTGTCTGTGAGCCTAAAGTTTGCTCACTTCTTTTTTAGAGATTAATAGTGCCTTAATAAGATCATGAGACCATCTGAACCATTTTCCATGAACTGGATTAGCTCACTGTACAGTGTGAAAGTGAAAGTGTCAGTTACTCTGTTGTGTCCAGCTGTGTGCGACCCAATGGACTGTAGCCCGCTAGGCTCCTCTGTTTGTGGAATTCTCAAGGTAGGAATACTGGAGTGGGTTGCCATTCCCTTCTCCAGGGACCTCTCCAGGGATCAAACTCGGGTCTCCTGTATTGCAGGCAGATTCTCTTCCGTCTGGGCCACCAGGGAACCCAAGCTTACTGTAAACTACTTAAAACTTTACAGTAACTCGTCTTGTAAGCCTTATCCCTCATCCTCTACTTTTTAAGTTTTTGTTTAATTGAGTCCCTATCACCTGCTTTGCCCCCTTTAGCTCCTTGTTTTCTCATTGACTGACTCTTTCTGGAAAATTCTTCCAGAGTACTTTCCTGCTTCTGCAAAGAACAGCATTTTTGAATATTCAGCTTCATAAAGCTTGTCTGCCAATGTATACATAGTTTCTCTTTCCTCTTAACATTATATCTGATCCTTTAATTTCTGAGTTTCTTGCCTATTTTCCCCATAGTTCTCTGGCTTCTGCCAAATATTGTACACACTCAGTTGTTTTATTGGTCCATGTCAGTATAATCTGCCTTAGTAACTGGTGAAGCTTATTAATTTGTATCATCCCTGGCAACTCTGATTTCTACCATATCTCAATTTGTATGGTTCTTGGCAAACTTGAACTGATTTTATGGAGTCTTAAGTTTGTCTTTGATAATATCTTCATTTTAGTAATTCTCTATCCTGGGAGATTAGCTATAAACTGCAAGAGGAGCTTCCTCTCTGACTTCATCAAACTTCATCAAATTGACAAAATGGTCAATTGTTTGAAAAAGCTGATTAAAACTGGCAGTCATAAAAATGATAATATGTCTTTTCAATATTTAAGTTTTTAACTTAAAGCATGTAACATATGTTTATTCCCCGATCTCTCAAGAAGAGCCGAGATCTGTCTTTGAGTAGAAATCCACTTGTATTCCATATGGCTTGTCTTGCATAAAACACATCTATTAGATATTATCTACACCACCCACTTCAGAGGGAGTAAGAATGTAAAGGCCTTTGCTAAGTAAATAAGTGCAAAGTCACTTTAGCTTTTCACAGTTTTACTCAATTTTCTATGGTTGTCTTACCCACTTCTAGTTTGATAACTTTTTTTAAAAAACTTTTTTTAACCTTAGTCGTTCTAAAAGCTTTAAACTTGTTCTAGAAACAACTCTTCTGCTCACTCATATTTGATTAGTTTATATACAATTTACTTATGTAATTACAATAATTGTTACATTGGCACAGAGTATTTGAGAATAAGCATAGCTGAGTCACAGTTGGCATACTGCTCAACACATTAGAACAGAAGTGTGTGGACCCACCTGAGAACAGCCAGCTGGCGATGAGCCCTCCACTAGCTTGTGGGCATTAGCCAGGATGCTTTTTGGAGGACAGGAGAACATTTGTTCATCTAACAAGTTGGTTAAATTAAAAGAGTCTGTATCATTTTCCAGTCAAAGAACCTGCTGTTACCGAGAATAAAACATGTTGTACCATATTTAAGTTAAGGTTTTTAATCAAGGATTCAAACTAATTTCATTCTTTACATGATAGACTAAAAGCTTAGATCTCATCCTTCCTGGAAAATAATTTGGAAAAAAAGATACATTTGCTTTGTAGGCCGTAATATTTTTACTTGGCTCTAAATGTCCCTAGGGCAACAGACATTCCAACAAGGTACAGTAGTATTGTTATCTGAAGTGATGCATTACTGAGGACAGAACTGAGGCTGAGGAGTGGATGCCAGAAAGAGAGATTTCAGATCAGTATGCAGAAGAACTTTCCAATAGCTCGAGATGGTCACAATTTCTTGTGAAATTGTGGGTGTTTCCCTAGCTGTGTCCGAGAACAAGTGGGACACCTACTGGCTGGCAGAACGACTCTTACCTTCAGTAGGGCCTTGTCCCAGGTGACTTAGAAGGTACTTTCAAACTTTAATATCCCAGGATTTTTGTTTCTGAACTATTAGGCTCCCACCTAATTTTTTTTAGGTCTGGGTCAAATGTTTTCACTGCCTGGGCCTTTGACCACTAATTTACATTGCTGTACATTGCCTAAAAGCACCTGAAACAGAAATACCTAAAAAAGGTCCATAGCGGACCACTCAGCACCTGTAAGGATATGGCTATGAAATGTAGCCTGATGTTTTTACTTCCTCAGTGCCTGTGATCATTGCTCAATAAGGACTTTATGTCCTTGGGCACTCTAAAAGAAGCAGTAAACATTCTGTGTGGGCAACTGAAGCCATACCCACAAAACACTTGATTGCTGCACAGAGGTTACTCTGGGGAAGAACTGAATTTTATTTTTAAAATAGAAAGCATAATGAAAAGAACGCAAAGATATATATTATAATTAATACAGGTGTTCTTTGCTTTAAGAAAAGAAAATGAACAAGATCAGACATTATAAAACATAAATTGGGCTGGTTATTTGCATTATGTAATAATTGTTCTTCATTTAAGAAAAGCACGCAGGCAATGTCAGAAATTATAAGATGTATAAATTGGAGTTATAATTTGGACTATAAAATAAGCATTCTGTATATAATTCATGGTAGGGTTTCCTTAAATAGTAAGAGCTTATTCTCATGTCACAAGCTGACAGTCCTAGATGTCTACATCTAGAAAAACCTTACTGTTTTTCCAGCCCAGCAGCTTTATTTACAGATAAGGAAACTTAAATTGAAGAAAGGGAAAAATCACCAGACCATTCAGGTATGACCTAAATCAAATCCCTTATGATTATACAGTAGAAGTGACAAATAGATTCAAGGTATTAGATCTGAGAGAGTGCCTGAAGAACTATGGATGGAGGTTCATCACATTATACAGGATCTAGGGAACAAGACCATCTCCAAGAAAAAGAAATGCAAAAAGGCAAAATGGTTGTCTGAGGAGACCTTACAAATAGCTAAGAAAAGATGAGAAGCTAAAGGCAAAGAAAAAAAAGGAAAGATATACCCATCTGAATGCAGAGTTCCAAAGAATAGCAAGGAGAGATATGAAAGCCTTCCTCACTAATCAATGCAAAGAAATAAGGGAAAACAATAGAATGGAAAAGACTAGAGATCTCTTCAAGGGAATATTTCATGCAAAGA